GCCATAAGTAGGGCTCCCGATAAGGGTCATTCTATGACAGGATCTTTGTAAAATTTGCTCTACCAAATTTCTTTCTCTGGTCAAACCAAAACTGACTAGATTCTGTGCTGAGGATTCTTTTCTAAAAATTATTGAGGAGTAGGGTTTAGGGTCTAGTAATGGAATCAGGTAGAGGACTGCTGGTTCTGGAAGGTTACAGTGTGTGGGGGAGAGGCTGAATGAAGGACGGCTTCTTATAACTGGTCCCCACACACTGACATTCTTACTTCCAACCCCTGGGCCTCCACCTTCTCCTACCATGCCACTCTCCCCTTTCCCAACAGCCCTTACCTATCTTCAGAGTAAGAGGAAAAGAGGCCCAGTTGTGCCCTGTTTATGCTCAGCCCCTATCTGGCTCTTTCCTTTCCTAGTGTGTTAAGAACAGGCCATGTTCTGTGAAACTGGCATTCCGGGGTGCTTCAGACCCCCTGGAATGTCTCAGGCTTGTAGGGCTGCGTTGGGCGTAAATGTGTCTTGACACAGGCTGTAGTGAGCTGTCAGGGAAAGGAGGCGTTTGAGGCAGGATGGTGACCACCATGATGGGGAGATCAGCGAGCTGTCTAATTAGAATGCAACCATTGTTTAGGCCCAATTTCAGTGTAATTGTCTAAGGCAGGCCTAATAATAATAATTAATGACTAATTAATGTGTCATTTGCATTTATAGAACAGCTTTTGTGAGAAGCTCTTAAAGTCCTTTCCCAAGATAGGTGATTGGTTTTGTCCCTGTTTTGCAGAGAGGAAAACTAAGGCACAGAGTGATTCAGTGACTTGCCTCATTGAGGCAGTGGCTGGGAATCAGAATCCGGTTCCTGATTCCAGCCCTTTTGTCTAGCCATGCTGCCTCACAGTAAACTCATCCCGCTGGTCGCCCTGAAGCGGTTCGAAGCTTGTGTCAGCTGGAAGTTACTCTTTGAAATATCTCAGGCTGCCAACCCACTTCTAGTGTAAAATATGGCAAAAAGATCTACGCACAGAGCCGCGCAGAAAGCAAGGCCTTAAAACCAATAGCAAGAACATCTGTTCTCTTAGCAGTTCTGATTCACGTCTCTGATGCAATGCTAATGAGAGATGACAGGGAGGGAGGTAGCTGAGGACATGATACAGCTGGACTTCTTGAAAGGCTTTTGCTGCAGTTCTTTATATCATGTTATATTATTCTAATAGCATCACAAAAATGAGTGATGGAATGGGCCCAGAGGTCACCTCAGCCAGTCCCCTGAGAATGCAGGACCATTCCTGATTGCATATTTATCTGAGTTTCGTCCCATCTAGTTTTTAATGGCCCCTCTCACCTCCATAGTGAGACTATTCCATAATCTAATAGTTTTCAGCATTAGGCAACTTTTTCTGATATTCAGCCTAAATGTTCCATTTGTCAGTTTCATCCTTTTGATCTGGGGTGAGCAAGAGGTCAGATCCGGCCTGCCAAGACTCCAGATCCAACCCACGGCCACCTCGCCAGCACCCTTACTACATAGCAGCTGCTGCTTTAAAAGCTGGCTCTCCATGCTCTGCATGCTGGGGAGGGACTGGGATGCTTTCCCCTTTAACTCTCATTGGCAAGTTTCTGGCCAATAGGAGCGAAGAAATTTTGCTGGCGGCCGGGGCAGCAAGAAAAGCCTCCTCCCCCCCCCTCGCCCCCGCCCATTCCCTCCATTCTGTGCTAGAGCAGAGCCATGTGGAACAGCTAGCCCAGCAGACAGGCACGGAGTCTGTCTCAGGTTCCTGCAGGGCTGCTGGTGGGAGCTGTCTAGGTAAGTGCCTGCCAGCCAGAGCCTGCCTATGGCACCCCACCCCCTCTTTCCTCCAACTACCTTCCCCAGGCCACCACCCAAACCCTCTGAATCCCCTCTCTCCAACTCCTCCCAGACCCTGCATTCCCTCCTACATCCCTCCCCCGGGCCAGAATACTTTCCTGCACACATGCCCCTCCCTGACCATGCACTCCAAACCCCTATCCTGATCATAACCTCTTCCTTCACCCAAACTCCCTCTCAGATCCTACACCCCCTCAGGAACCCCAGTCTTCTATCCTAAACTCCCTTCTACACCCCACCCCCACAAGGAAGGCAGAATCATGCCAGTGGTATTTATCCTCCACAAACACTTGAGAGTTATCATGTTTTTTCTGATTTGTTGTTTACCTAATCTATATATCTAGTTCCTTTAATCTTTCCTCATAAATCCAGCTGGTGCATAGCCTACTGAGGGTGACATTTGCAATCGGATTAAAAACTGTTGGACTGCTGACCAAGGTCAGAGAACAGCAGTAAATAAGCAGGAATCAGGGAAGAGAGGTAAAGCCAAAGTACACATAGGGTGGTAAATAGGCAGGAAAATGAAAGGAATGGCAGGGCTGGTTAAGGGGACTGTTTGTTCCAAACTGGTTACTTAGAAGAGAGAGCACCGCAAAGTAAACTTGTGGAGAACATAGAAAGGAAATGTGCTAGTATCAGGAAAGGAAAACTGGACTTAATAAGGGACCCAAATGAAAACAGGGCCCGTCTATGTCTGGTTTAGACAGTGTAAGGTGGAGAGCATGCTGTCTCTCAAACTGAAATTCATCACAGCAGTGGGCTGAGCAGGAGGGCATGGGTGTAGTGAGGGGCTTTCCGTCGATGGATGAAACTTTTTGCAAAGCTGGAGTTGATAGAGCCCAAGCCAAAGTGTGTTGTGGTTTCAAGAGGACTCATTTATTTTTATTTTAGTTCACTCTACAGCCCACAAACAAAATCAAGGAGAGATGCTGAGGAGGCTTCTGCCTGTATCCTAAACCCATATGTACTCACTGAAGCCACATGCCAAATGGCGCTATGCTTTACAGCACCTGAGGATGTCCTCGCTGGCACGGATACAACTGCCTGCTTCACGCTACCACTGAAGACTACTCTCAGTCTCTCTCTCGGTGTGCTCTGACCTGCAATGCACAAGTCAAAGTATAGTATTCTAAGTCCTAGCCATTGAGGCTAGACTGGGACGGAGGAAACCTGGGCTCTAGTCCCCCTTTTGCCACCAACCTGCTGTGTGACCTTGGGCAAGTCATTTTCCCTCTCTGTGTCTGGTTTCCCATCTGCAAAATGGTGTCATCGTTACACTGACCTCCCTTTGTAAAGCCCTTGGGAGCTATTGATAAGGAATTCTATATAAGAGATAGGTGTTATTACCTTACGTTTCTCCACATTGAATTCCTCAGTCTCTACAGCAGGTCATGTTGTTTGCTTGCTCAGTTCCTTTTTATCTCCATTGGCCACTTTCTGTGCTATCAAACAACAATATCACCTTCAAACACAATTTATAGACAAGGGGACAGATTATGCCCTGCCTATAGGCCCCATGGAGGTCATCAGTACTGAATACATGCAAATGAGGGCCTGATCCAAAGGTTACTCACAGCAATGGGATAGTTTAATGGGCTTTGCTCAATCCCTACCAGCAGAATTTGGCAAAGATAAGCAACTAGTTCCAATATAGACTCCCACAGAACTTAGGGTTGCCACGTTTTCAACAAAACCGGACACACTTGACATTACATCACAATCTACATTCCATCTTATTTAGAAAATAATGGACATTTATATTTTCTCATTTCTATTTTCTCAATTTGTTTCCCAAACAGAAAGCTCAAATACTGGACTGTCTGGTTCAAAACCGGACACCTGGCAACCCTAGCATCACTTCCCCCCTCCTGTGCCACCTGGCTTCCTTTCTTCTCAAGCTTTTTGTCCCTCGCTTGCTTTTTAATCCATTTCCATATGTCAAACCTTCTTGCCTTTGATTTTGCCTCCTCTGGTAATGTCTGTCCCAGGGAATCCATACAGCCTAGTGTCACTCCAAGTGACTGGCACTCTGAACTTGCCTCGGTAGCCTCTTGAAACTCAGCAGAGCGTAAGAGGTGGGGAAGGGGAATGGCTTTCATGCCACCTCCTCAGAGTCAGTAGTTTCTGAAAAGAGCAAAGGCTGGAGTTGTTTCATTTCTATAATCAAAAGATGAACTCGGCCTGAAATCTACAGGGCAATTTAAATTACACACTTTAAAAAGAAACCCAGATCAATGTCTTTATCGGCTCAGATAAATCCTGTGTCTCCACATAGCCCAGGATTCATCATTATGATGCTTGTTTTCATAATTGTCCCAGGGTTAGAATGCCCCCCTATGGATTAGCTTGTATATTGGCCCCTTCTGAGATGAGGATTTCAGTGCTCCATGCTGGGATACTTGAACTATTCTGTGGCCTATGAAAAGAATCAAAGACAGGTGATCAGACAGGGTCTTTTCATGCCAGAAATCCACAGTGACTGTCCCTGACTGCTGTATTGCTAAGCAAGCTACTGATTTCATTCATCATTGCTGCCGGCACCTTGGCTGCTGAGCTGATGTCAACTTTGTGGCAGCGGTTCTCGGAATCCTTCCTTATGCTTGACTTAAATATAGGCCCTGCTATTAGCAGCCCTCTCGACCTGGGGCTTTGTTAGCTTGAAACAGATTTTGAACTGTTCTATTAGCTGTAATGGCCATTTCATCTGCTCCTATACAATAGGAAGAGCCAATTTAACAGTTCTTCCTCATTTTCTGCAGGAACCATGTTTCTGTGTCTGGGAGGTTACCTGCTGCTTCGTTTGTGTCCACTGAGGCAAAGAAATCATTTGGGACCCTCAGTAATAGCAACCTCGTTTGTCATTAATTTTCTACTCTGGGCCCTCAGCAGCCTTGCAGTGCTCTCTCCCGTCTCTGGACAGGACAGTTTCCTTGACTTACTTTGCTTGTCCAGTTTCTTCTGCTACTTTCAAATTTTGGGTGGAATCATAGCCCTCTTGCATGCCCTCACATCTGGCACACCTGCCACAGATACCCATATCGCAGGTAGCTATCCCAGAAAGCAGAACAATCTCCTTGAAGCTGCTAGGATCATCTGTGGGACGGGAAAGATGTGGGATATGGAGGAGGAAGAGGCAGAGCCTTGGGACTTCCACACTGGCCAGTGCATCAGAGGCGGCATATGGCATCAGGTCTGGGACTGGGGTAGGAGACATCTCCCTTCTAGAACAAGAGGAAACCAGGATGTAGATCAAGGCTACTCAACACGCGGCCCGTTTGTTTGTGGCCCACGGTGCGGTTTGGGTTTACACAGGGCTCAACATGTGGCCTGTGGGTGGGATCCTTTGAACATGGCCTCCTCTGGGAACACGCTCCACAACGACAAGTCACTATAATGGTCTTCTGTTGATGTGCGTTTTAGTAGTTAAATTCCTGGATTGTCATTGCTCATGAAAAGTGCTGTCATATGGGTGGAAATCAGGTAAATATTGCATGTTATTAATATCAGCAGAACTCACTTCAGTGGGGCGTGTGTGCTGTGTATTCTTGCCTTAATCTTTGTATTCATGCCCATCAGTGTGAAAGAAGCTATTTGCATATATATTTGCATGTATATGCAACCACACTTAAGTTGAGGCCCTCAGCATGTGCCATGAGTATCATTGTGGCCCCTGGGGCTTCCAAAGTTGAGTAGCCTTGATGTAGATTGTGAGTCCTCAGATCACAGTCTGTGTTCTGGTCTGCCCTTGGACAGGACCACTGCTTCTCATAAAGCCACGACAGATGCCTTGCTGGTGGATTTTATTATCAATGGCAGGTAGACTGACACTTAGGGTTGCCAGGTGTCCAGTTTTGAACTGGACAGTCCAGTATTTGAGCTTTCTGTTCAGGAAACAAATTGAGAAAATAGAAATGAGGAAATAGAAATGTCCAGTATTTTTAAATAAGATATAATGTAGATTGTGATGTAATGTCAAGTGTGTCCTGTATTTTTCTTGAAACCATATGGCAAGCCTACTGACACATCCTGTTGTCAAATCCTGTGTCCGTTGCTTGTGACTGCCAAACTTTAGTTGTTCAGGCTGAAATTTTCCATGCTGGGATGTCTGCCTCAAGCTGAATGCATTGTTTGGAAAGTTTTAGCCAAAAGGGTTTAGGTGTTTTTAAGAAGACAAGGGGAAAATAGGCTATCTGCCTGTGTAAAAAAATGCAGGTGAACTTTTCTTTGGCAAAAATCTAGCGCTACCTCTGCAGTGGAACAATCACTGAAATCTACAAGGAGGCAGCTTTAGTGTCAGGGATGTGTCCAAACTGGGTCAAATTATACCCCGTGTAAAATTACAGCTTGTGCTGGTAAGAAGAGACTTCATAGCTATTAGCAGCTAAATTCTGTCCATACTGGGCAGGCTCCAGCCTGGGGTTAAATAGGACTTCCCCTGCAATTGCAGTTTGGGGCTGCTGCAGGATATTCCAGGCTGTGAGTGTGTAGGTAAAGACTATCACAGGAGAGCCAATAGCCACACCAGGCCCCTGGGCAAGGCGCAGGAGGATGGTTCTGCACTCCCAGAAGGGCTGGGGCTTTGGTGGAAGGGGAGAGGGCAGGGCAGCAGCACTCAGCATCACCCAAAGTGTGCCACACTGTCCCTGCCTCAAACTGCTCTTAGCATGTCATACAGCGCTCTGGTGGAGATTTAAAGGACCTGGAGCTGGTCCCAAGGTAGTTGCTCGCTTTGTCCCCATCCCTGTCAACGGGATCCCTGCTATATCATAATGCATATGCACAAGGAGGTCTAATTAGGGTTGCACTGGTAGCCTTCATGTTGGATTTCCTAACTTTGGAGTGCTTGACTTGTCAATCTTAATGTGATTTCAGTGTAGTGTGTAGGTTACCATAGTTGAACTTTCAAAAAAGAGGACACTCCCGAGAGGGAGTGTATC